TGTTTTGTTAGAGAAAACTGGGCACTTGTGGAGTCCATAACAGATATGGAATTAAACAGTTCTTCAGTTAAATTTGTTTATTTATTTTTATATTTATTGACATTACTTATTTAATATGCCTCATATTTTTTATGGAATGTTGCTTATTAATATTGTAATGTGTAGTTTAATTAATTTATTATTATGGTAGCATAGATAATTAAATACGGTAAATATTTAGAAAATTATGACGCCATAATATGTTTTGGATTTATTCCAAATCATGACTCCACAATAAAGATAAATTGCTGAAGATAATCTATCCGTAAAATAAGGAAATGAAGTTTTTTTGGAGATAATCTATCCGTTAAGAAAGGAAATGAATTTGTAATTTTTTTTTGTCAAATTAGGTTTTTGAGTTAATCCTTCTATAACACATTTGTGCGGACGGAATGCGGTAGATACAACCTCAAATGATTTAAATGAATGATCTTTATTTATCCAATAATACTTCATCAACACAAACATTAACCGACAAAATAATAATTGGCCACATATTATTACTTAGGTAGATACAACTTCAAATGAATTAAATCATACCGTACCTAAGTTCACTTTAATGTATAAATCATTAGAATAATAAAAAATAAAAATTTTATACATAACAAATAAATGTTTGTCATGGCTTTTATTTTAAAAATAAATTTGAATTATTATACTTTTAGTTTATATGAAATTCAAAATTACATATTTTAATATATTAATAAATGTTTATTATTTATTTTTTCCTTATGTGATATACTCGACATTCGGTATTAAAATTTTAAATTCAAACATTTAAAGAAAAAGATCCTAAACAAATTTTTTTGGTAAATTTTATTTTATTTTGATATTCATATAATCACATTCCTAACAAACTAATTAATATTATATATTTTTTTATCTACATTATCTAACCGATTATTTAAAGATACAATTAATATAATATCTTAACTAATTAATCATTTATCTAACCAGATTTATCTCTCTAACAAATTGCCAATTTTTTTGAAATTAAAATGGTATGATTATTCTTATGGAGATAATTGACTTTTAAAAAAAATAAAATCAAAACTGTAAGGTTTAATAAAATTTATTTTAAAAAAAATATTGTATAAAAAGAAGTGTTTAATAATATATATTTTTCATTATTTGTATTTATTTTATTTTCATAATAGATGAGATGTGAAAAATATAAATAATTATATTTAAAATAAAGCCTAAAAAGGTTTAAAATATGAGCTCTTACGCGCATCGCACTGGATATACATTAATTTAAAAATGTACTCAATAAGAAAATCATTTAGTGGGTTGTAATTTTCAAAAGTTTCTGAAATTAATCTAGTTTCAGTTAAGTTTTTTGGCTCCATTAAAAAGTTTTGAATAAAAAAATCACTGCTCCCCGTATTATAATTTTCTTGTCCGTAATTTGGTTAATGGATTGATATTCCTATTTAAAAATTATAACAAACAATCCAAGTCCTTTGATGAAAGAAAAGAAAAAAAAAACGAACCCGCAACCCGTAGTAAGACTACGAAACTACTAAAAATGAGTATTTATTCAATATAATTCGATGTAAAGTCAAATTAATCTGTTTTCATTTAATTTATTAGGACTCCATTAAAGAATTAAATTAAAAAAACCCCGCTCCCCGTTTTTCTTGTCTTTATTCGGATTGCCATAGTATACTTTACACGAGTGAAAATTATAAGAACAAACCTTTATTCATTTTAGTTTAATTCAAGAAGACGGAAAACGAAACGTTCATGCAGTACATAACTAAACCCTCTGCGCACTCTTGCCGTCCACTCCAACTCGCTCCAAGCCTCTAACAGAGGCTAAATTTTAGCTCCCCATTATCAGACTGAGTAGGTAAAAGTGATTATTTCTTTCTATTTTTTCCATTCATGTACAGCTTTCATTGGCATTTTATTTTCTACTCTCTCTGTAATCTGTTTGATTCAAGGTCCGAATTTTTTTTTTTTTTTTTTTGNGATGTATTTCGTTTATTTTTTATTATCATTTTTATTAGTTATAAAAATGTGTTCTTTTACTGTTCTTGAAAAACAAGTTATGTAAATTAATGAATGATGTTGTGGCGAATTAAGGGCAGAGAAATTAGGTTTCCGCTTTCTTTAATGCTGTTTTCTTTAAATTTGTATACTAATATTTTTTGATGGGTTAATTTAGAAGGTGGCAATTTCACGTGGAGAAACACCATTGGAGTTTTACCCCCACCGAGAGACCAGCTTCTAACCAGTAAGTTTGTGCTGCTTTTCTGCCTTTTCCCTCTAATTATAAAAGCCTTAAATTATTTAACTAATTATAGTTTCAAATGAACAGATGATTGTGATTTGTTTTCTCAGCTGGCTTTTATGGAGATTAAAATTCGAATGAACAGACCTCAATCTCAGAGAAATTCTATTGGGCGCCTATCAGTCTCACATGTCAAGGACTCTATGCGGCGAAATCGTAGGCAGATTGTGGAAGACCAGGCGATTTTGAACGACCACTATGCTGATTTCTTGAATCGACAAGGAGTTACTTATACTGCCTTCTACGGACCTGACCGGGCCCATAATCGCCACAGATTCAACGTGTTTAAGAGAAGGATTGAGAGAAGGGCCGAAGACATCCCTCTGGTCCGGACGAATCTTCAAACCCAAGAGACCTTTGTAAGGGAAGAGGATTTCGACTTCCCTAACGCACTGAGGGAGGCTTTACAAACTGGACCAATTCTGGCATCCATCCTTGTAAAAACAGGACTCGATGACTTGCAACGCAACACGTTATTGCCATCCAGCACATCATATGTTATGGTAGATGGCGAACTGTCCACACATACTTGCGTATTGACAGGCTATGGGACACTAGCCGACGGCCGAGAATACTTTGAAATTCTCAATTCATGGGGTTCGTGGTGTGATGAAGGCCTCGGGTTTATATCAGAGGAGGATATCCTCGAGGCATGGATGTATGACATCCAAGAGGTGAGTTGCTGATTTTGTACACAAAGAGACATGGTAATTTTAGATTTAGATGGCTGAATTTTGAGACATTTCGTTCAAGACCTGTCTTCCATGTCTGATATGTGATAGCTTCAGTCTTTGGGCTCTGAGTAGTTTCTATGTAATGGAACACCATGTTCATGCTCTATTTTTTCTGTGCTCTGCTGAAAATGCTTGCAAATGTGTAATGATGGATTTTTTTTTTTTTTTCCCCTATTAGCTAGAAAACTCTGCTTGCTATACGTCTGTGGCTATAAATCTAGAATTCTCATCACCAGTTACTTCATAGTTGGTAGTCTTGCATCTATTGGAATCTATACAGATAGTTTTATGGAGATTTCCACAGAGGTCAAAAGGCTCTGATGTACTGGCTAGAAAGCAAGTACTTTCTTTTATCAGTTTGCTTCACTACATTCCTAGATTTGCCTGAGTTTTGCCACTAACTTTAGAACTGAAAAGAACTTCTGGTGTCTTCTGCCTGAGTAAGCTTCTACTCAAATGATGATCCTCTTGATAATTTTTATGATCCCGAACTCTTGAAAGTCTCACACTCACTTGTAGCGCTCTAACACACAGAATTCGCACTCACAATTCCTTCTCAGTTCAAACTCACATTCAAAGATTGTTGGCTTCGAATTCACACTCTAAGTCTAAAAAAATTTAGGGAAATTTATCGGGCATCAAATTCAGTATCTCGCACTCTCAGTCTTACAATTTTTCGGGCATCAAAACGAGTTTCGGTCTTCCTTTCCACGGAGACTTAGCAGCTAGCATCTAGCTGAGCAGCGTCATAAGGGTCTGCTTGCTGGTTTTCAATTTGGTAGGAGTAGTTGCGACCTAGCCTCTTATGGATTCGTCTCTTTGTCTCTCTCTTGATGCAAAGGTACTTTTTTTTTAGGATTTCATAAATTCCTAGTCTGAGAAGAGCAATCTCAGCTCAAATTCGGACGAGGAAAAGGACAATTGTTGCTCCTCATGCAGTTCATTGTTATCATTATGTGCACTTATCTGCCTGTATAATGAAAGTTTTTAATGGCATCTGCCTTGTATAATTGTTTTCCTGGTAGTGGTTTATAATGATTTGTCTGACGTTATGGAAAATGATAGTTTGCTAAGAACCCACCTTAATGTTGTCTGAAAGATTATATAGTCTAGTCTTATAAGCTTTGAGAGTTTGCACATTTCATACTTTCTGGCCAGTAATCTAGCCTGTGTACAAGAATCTCAGACACGAAGTTGTTGCTCTCTAAGATCACAACCCTTATTGATTGTTGATCCTATTTTCATGTTGTCGTCATATGTCTCACCCTTTTGTATTTGCCTCTGGCTTTCTAAGTTTGAAGGTTTATTTATTTCCAAATTCATGTCCTGCTGCATTGTCATAGCTAAATAATTAGTTTTGAGGACCTTCATAAGATTAATGCTCAGACTACCTTTTACTCGTTGGATCATGTTAGCTGTAGATGTGTTATGCGGATCATCACTTTAATTATTTTCATTTCCGAAACAAGAGAAATATATAAAATAGGAGTTCTGTTGTTGAAGGCCTTTACCTAACAGACAGGTTCTGTTGCTATTTGTCACTTATTCAAATGCACCGCAAAATAATTTTCTTTTCACAAAATCTTCTTTCTGAAAATCCTTCGCCTGACTTGAAGAAACAAGGCCTTCGTTGAAGAAGTTTGACGTTAAGGTTGAAGACATCCTCTTTTGAGTTATGTTTGGTGACTGCCACAAGTTTTCAAATTTTCAGATTATGAACACTTCATCTGGTGCTTTTATCGGTACTTTTGTTCCAAGTTCATTTCCTCTCTCTTTTAAGTTTTCATCATTGGACAAATCGTGATCTTTTCTGCATGTTTTGCAAAAGAGTTTTATACCATATTGTGGCTCGCGAGGTCCCTTTGATTCCTTTGTACTTCTATTAGTTGTGCTTAGCAAATTCTTGTTTACGTGCCTCTTTTGTAAGATGCTTCACTCCCTCTGTTCATCGATTGTGTTTCGGGGTTAGAGATTTTATGGCCTGATTATTATATTCCAAAAATCATACCCTTAGGTACGAAACCAGGCTATGACTCTACCAAATTATATTTTCTCAAGTGAGGATATAATAAGACATGCCACGAAGCTTCGGCTGCAGATCTTTGTTTATCATTATTTTCTTATCTGCCTGTATAATGAAAGTGTTTAATGGGATCTCTCTGTATCATTATTTTCCTGGTCGTAGTTTATAATGATCTGCCTGTAGTTATGGAAAAATGATTGTTTGCTGGTGTATGAGAGATTAGCTTAGTTTATAACATATTTCAAAATTAATGAATGATATTTAGCTGCTTGTAGCTATTGATCTGCCTGTATGATAGTTTGCTGTAGTTATGGAACAAGGAGAATAATGATCTGCTTGTTTCCATTTCTTACTGGTTTCTATCATGATTTATATTCTATGTGCTAAACTCTGAAAAATGAGGCTTTCGTTACATTTGGGAATACTTGGACGCGGATTCATCAATCACTTGTTTTATCTATAATATCAGTTTGTATTGCTCTTAGGAACTGCTGAACAGAAGGAAATAGACAAATGAGCATAACAATTCGTTCTTTCTTTCTTTTGATTCTTAATTTTTGTAAAATTATTCCATTATTTATTCTGCATACTTTAGTGTAGAGAGGATAATTGATGACAATGTGTACAATTACTACAGCTGCTACGCCCGTGAAGCGGGTTTTAGCATGAGGGTTAAAAACTCGTAGTTGAAAAGAAATAACCGAGAAAAATATGGGGCTGTTTTATAGCCGAGAAGGGGTGATCTCGTTGGATCATTATTAGGTGGCGTTGAGAGCGTTCGAGGAATCTTTGGAAAGAGTTCACGGAGTCTAGGGAAAATTTGTATAGGCATCGTTTTATTAGGAACTAAATGTGTGAGTTCTATGGTTCTGAATTTCTGATGAGGCTGTAAACCTCTCTGTATGATAGTGTTACATTATAAATTGAAGTATCAATATACCAAGAAAAATGGATAAAAGAACGACAGAGTATCTGACTTATTATACTTCAGAATCTGGCTACTTTGCATAATTCGGGACGACTTGATTCTAAAGTTGTCTTTTGGGGCAAAGTAGCTGAATTACTATCTTATAGTTTTAGTCTACTTGAAGGTAATTTAATTATTACTCCATCCTTTTTTTAATAAATGTCGTTTTGAGAAGTTGCACAGTAATTAAGAATATTTTTTTGCTAATAATAACCCTCATTAATGAGGATAGAGATAGATGTTTTGAGAAAAGATGAAGAGTGAATATGAAAAGACGTAATATATTTATTAGCTAGATAAAGGTAATAATAGAAAAATATGTACAAAAGATCCAAAACGTCATTTATTTAGTTATAGGAGGTAGTACGTGTTTGCGTTAATGAATCTATCGTTTCGAGAAAACAAAAAAAAAAAAAGGTAATTTTAATTATTTAATGATGTATTTTACTCGACTCAATCAAATGATTAAGTGGTGAGGATCCAAATAACGTGCCTGTACTTATGAGTGGAGCTGGTCACGATGCAATGACCATGTCTCATTTAACTAAGGTATCTCATTTAATTTAACTAAGAAGATGATGTTTGGGTGACTGGAGAAGTTTTATAGATTTTACTACACTAGGAAGATAAATACCTAACCAAACATAAAAAACATAACAGCGAAGTCATTCTCTCTGCAAATAAACCCCGCCCACCCATTCTCTCTCGACCACACCAAATAAAAATTCCGATTCTCAGATCGGGGAAGCCTCACGGAAATAAAATATTCTAATTCACCAACAACAATGTTAGATACTGATTAATTTTATGTCCCACAGTTAATTCAATCGACAACATCAATTGCAATCCCAGCCGCGTTTTGAACAGAAACCGTCGACGCCACACCACCACCAGTCTTTGGCCTCTCACTTTCATCTCCTCCATGTAATCCCCCGCTTTCGACTGGTTATTTCTTTTCCTTGGATTTATTGTTTAATATTAATTTGGAGTTTAATTTTCAGCTGGTGGAGAATTTGGCCGATGTGACTGAAAATGGGACGAGAGATCAGCAAGAGGATGTATTGGTTTGGTGATTGTTCAGTTTTTTGTTGGTTGATTATTTTTTTAACCTTTTTGAGCTGAGCATAGTTTCTTTTTGTGTGCTACTGAAGGTGCATATGTTTAGTTGATACTTCTCTTTTTACTTTCCATTTAAATTCTGACGGTGCAGTCAGTTTTCTCACCATTAGGGTGTTAATTCATACGTTGCCAGTGAACGTCCATCTCGCTAAGATAGATCATAGATCTGTTTCCCTAATCCCTAAAAATTATTCTTTTTTTACTTTTAAATTTAATTTTGTCCTATAGAATGCAAAGAAAAGTAGGTAAAAATATGGAAAAGATTCTGTATCCAATTATATCAATTGTATGTTCTTAATATGCATGGAATTTTCTCCAACCCATCTTAGTGAGATTTGATACCATCTTATTATTTGATACCATCTTACGTATGACTGTATGACTACGAGACTATGAAGTTTTATGACCTTGATTTATATTTATAATCAATATTCAACACTCAACGCCATTACCTTAAAATAGCATTTTGATATAAAATTAATTAAAATTTTATTACAGAAAATAAAATATTTAGTTTGGTTATGAAAATCTGAACTTCCATTTAATCTTTCTTATATTATGATTAACGATTTATTTTATTCATTTTTATTTGTGCAGGGAGCCCAAATTGAAGTAATAATGTTTAATGTTGATATTGATGAATATGCCAACAAATTCCAACTCAACAATACATATTCGATCACTGATGCTGAAGTTGGAAAAGTCAATCCACGTTTGCAAAAGATGGCCATTCATCCAGAGAAAGAAATATATCTTAAAATGTCCAACAAAACCTCCATAAATCTTGGCGATGAAGATATAGGATACAATATCTTCTATAATTTTTACTTAAAATTATTTTTATTACTAGTGAGAATCCCGTGCGATGCACGGAAATTTCGTACATTAGAATATTTTTTTAAAACTTTATTTTTAACAATATATTAGCCCGTTGAGCCGTATATATTAATATAAATAATATTTTAACATATATATTTATTTTTTAATACATAAAAAAATAATTTTATATATTTTGGTTCATCATAATATTCAAATATTATTTTATTCAAAAATTTATTGTCGTATAATTTCATTATTATTTATAACACATATAGAAGTAATATTCTTTTTTTATATAATGATAAATATTTAATGTATATTAATATTATTTATTGATGCAATTAATTTAAACATATATAAGCAAATTTAATGTTGGGTAGGAATGTGAAAAGTTAAGATAAAATGGAATGTATCCAAATAAATTTGCTTATGATATTTTTCTTTAAATGTTTGAATGAAT